AAAAAAAAAAAAAAAAAAGAAAAGAAAAGAAAAAAGTTAGCCAGGCATCATGTGTCCCAGCTACTAAGGAGGCTGAGGCAGGAGGATCACTTGAGTCCAGGAGTTAGAGGTTGCAGTGAGCTATGATGATCACACTGCACTCTAAGCTGGATGACAGTGCCAACACCATTTTTAAAAGTACATAAAGACTCAGCACCTATAGCTCAAGCAGTTAAGGTGCCAGCCACATACACCAGAGCTGGCAGATTTGAATCCAGCTCGGGCCTGCTAAATAACGACAACTATAACCAAAAAATAGCTGAGCTTTGTGGCGGGCACCTTTAGCCCCAGCTACTTGGGAGGCTGAGGCAGGAGAATGGCTTAAGCCCAGGAGGTAGACACTGCTGTGAGCTGTGACACCATAGCATTCTACCCAGGGTGACAGCCTGAGGCTCTGTCTCAAATAAATAAATAAATAAAATTAAAAAGTACATAAATAGACCAGGCTCAGTGGCTGACACCTATAATCCTAGCAGTCTAGAAGGCTGAGGTGGGTGGACTGCCTGAGCTTACAGGTTCAAACCAGCCTGAGCAAAAGGGAGATCCCGTCTCAAAAAATAGCTGGGTATTTTGGAGGGCGCCTCTAGTCCCAGCTAATCAGGAGGCTGAGGCAGGAGAATCGCTTAAACCCAAGAGTTTGAGGTTGCTGTGAGCTATGATACCACAGTACTCTACCCAGGGTGACAGAGGGAGACTCTTGTCTCCAAAAAAAAAAAAAAGAGGAAAGAAAGAAAAAATAACCCACTATATTAGGCTGAGAATGGTGGCTCACACCTGTAATCCTAGCACTTTGGGAAGCTGAGGTGGGAGGATTTCTTGAGCTCAGGAGTTTGAAAACAGCCTGAGGAAGAGTCCTAGTCTCTACTAAAAACAAAAAGATCAGCTGGGAGTCACAGTGCACCTATATGTCCAGCTACTTAGGAGGCTAAGGCAGGAAGATCCCTTGAGCCCAAGAGTTTGAAGCTGTAGTAAACTATGATAGTGTCACTGTACTACAACCAGGGCAACAGAGCAAGACCCTGCCTTAAAAAAAAATAAAAATAGGGCAGTGCCTGTGGCTCAAAAGGGTAGGGCACTGGTCCCATATGCAAGAGGTGGTGGGTTCAAACCCAGCCCCAGCCAAAAAATACTGCAAAAAATAAAATAAATAAATATATATACATATATATATTTATACACACACACTTCTCTATATGATAGACTTCAAACATTTTCCTATATAAACATCAAGCATTAATATAAACATATATACACAATTTTCTCATTTTCTGCATAACAGTGATTTAGACGTTGGGAAATCCATTATATCTTTAAGGCAATAAACCAATGACAAAGTTTAAAAAAAAATACTAAGAAAAGTCATCCTTCAACACCTCACCCCAGTATTATTATAAATTTTACTCTACCAACATTGACATGATGTTTTATGCCTACAAGCTAGATAATAATGCATCAAACATCTAGTTATCACTGCAGAGCAAAAAATAAAACTAATTTTTATTATAAAAAGGCTAACCTGCATACAACCTGTAGTGGTTAAAACAAATATAAAATTTTACTTAACTAGATCTTGCTCATCAAACTCTAAGAACATTAACAGTGGAAGCTGCATTTAACAAATTACCAAATAAAGTTTAAGTCTGCTAAAAAAGGGAACTAACATTCTAACCTCCTTTCAAAATGACAAACTAGAACTGCAAAATTACGCTCAGGCACATGGAGTACTCTTCTCTCAAATCACTCCACAGAGAACTTCATCATTTGCTCCGCCCTCTAATAACTCATGCAAAAAAAGTTCAGCACCATCAGAGAGAAGCAAGACAGAATTCATAGAATGGCCTAGGGCCTTTTCTCCAGGCGATGAGGGAATCTGTGTGCGCCCTTCGCAGAGGTCTAAAGGGGAAAAACAAAAAAACCCTAGGCCTAGGTTTTGGGGGACAATGACACCCCCAGACAGATCTTCTTTCAAAGAAGTTTCTGCCGCCATCCCTATTTTATCAGCAGGAGGCCCTGGCGCCATCGTCTCAGTCTTTATGATTTTATTATGGGGAGGTGGGAAATGGCACGTAGGGATTCCTCCGGGCCTCCTCTATTAAGCTTGGGGGTTCCCCCTCATTCTTCTATCAAAGCCTCAGTCCCTAAGGTACACACCAGCAGCCCCCGCTTCTGGCGGCCTAGCCCCTATGATGCGTAAAAGCACTGCATAACCCACGAGCCTCGCGGTGAAGGCGGGAGGCCCCGAACTCGACAGGGCCACAGAGATGGCTTCGAGGGGCCCAGAGAGAGAAGGGCAGGCCAGGGACGGGGTGGGGGTGGAGATAACCTGGCCAGGGAAGAAAGGGAAAAAGAGGTGAGGAGAAGCACTGCCCTTCAAGGCTACAAGAGAAGAGGAGATGAAGATGATGAGGAAAAGGAGGGCGGTGGCCCGGGTGCGGCCCCCCACTCCTCCCGCCCCCAGGTCCCCGGGCCGTTGGAGGCGGACGGGCTCGGCCCATTCCCTGTTCTGGACTGGCAAGAGATGGGGGGGGTGGGTCTCCCTCCACACTGCGAGGACACCCAGATCGAGAGTATGGGGAGCGCGGGGGTCTGTCTCCCGCCTGAACCCGGAGACCCCCGACACCGTCGTCGCCTCTTCCTCAGGAGGGAGGACAGGAGCTGTGGGTAAAGCTCTAGGGAGGAAGGCATGAAGGTAAGGGGCAACCTGGGGCAGAACCTCCGCCCGCTCGGGACCCCTCTCTCTACCTTCCGGTAACCGCGTCTCTTACCGGTGATGGCGGTGAACTGCTGAATTAACCCCTTCAGCGCCGAGGACGCCGCGGAGCCCCCGTGGGCAGCCATCTTACCGCCGCCGCCGCCGCCGCCGAACAACAACACAGACACACACGGGCCTCCCTCCCCCACCTCGCCGCGCGGTTTGCGCAGGCTCACTGACCGCCCCCAGGCTCCGCCCCCCGCCCCCAGTGGCCTGCGCAGGCGCACTTCCCCATCGGTCCCGAGCGCTCTCCGGTCTCCGCTCTCGCGGTTGGCTGTTCAGTTACTGCCTGCTCAGGGCATCCTTTTTGCAATCACTGGTCCCTTCCTCTCGGAACTCGAAGGCCAGCCTCGTAATCGCGGTATCGATTCCTAGTTTTCCAAGGAAGCCTTGGTCTCGGCAGGTAGTAGGTCTTCGCATTTCAGCTTCACTGGCTTTATTGACACACTGCCGATGACAGTACTTTCTTTTTGCAGCTCCACCGCACTCTTCCAGCTTTCCTTCACCTCCCAACAAAACACAAATCTTACATCCCTGCTCTGAAACGACTCTCATACCCGCTCCCCAACTCAGTGGTTCAGCTAACCGAGTGCGGCGACCCAGCCATCAGGGGTGAAACACAAGAACCCCTAATGCCAAGAAAAGCATGAAGGACGGGGTCTGACACATAGTAGGTTTTAATAGAAACTGTTGTAAGGTCTGCTTTCCTTCAATAAATTTATCAACACATCTCCCTTCCGAGTATTAATTTCTTCACAAAGCCAGGAGTTGCTGTTAATGTTAAAAATGTGTGTAAGTATATACAGTAGAGGAAAGAAAATGTATAAAAAGGAAACTACATAAGTGTCTTTAATATGCTGATAATGGTTACTGCTAGAGAGGAGAGCAGTAAGGACCACAGGGAAAGAGAACTTTAAGGATTTGAAGGGTTGTTGGGGGAAGGGGGTTGTTTTGTTTTTGTTTTGAGAATGCCATGGCCTCAGCCTAGTTTACAGCAACCTCAAACTCCTAGGTTCCAGTGATCCTCCTGCCTCAACCTCTGGAGTAGGAGCGACTACAGGCATTCACCACCAAGCCTGGCTAATTTTCCTTTTTTTTTCTATTGAGACAGAGTCACACTGTCGCCCTGGGTGGAGTACTGCAGCATCATAGCTCACAGCAACCTCAAACTCCTGATCCTTTTGCCTCAGTCTCCCAAATTGCTGGGACTACAGGCACCTGCGAACTGACTAGTTTTTCTATTTATAGTAGAGATGGGGTCTCACTTTGCTTAGGCTGGTCTCCAATTCCTGAGCTCTGGTGCTCCACCCACCTTAGCTCCCAGAGTGCTTGAATTACAAGCATAAGCCACATGAGGCCTCCAATTTTCTTTTTTTTTTTT